CTTATATTCAAGTGATTATACACACATACCTATGGATATTATATTCAATTTCTGCCAATAGATCCTCCTTAATGTTACACAATGGACCTTTAAAGAAATGTATTTTGGTGTGTCAGTTTCTCTGTAACTCACAGGTTTGCTAACGATGTTGTCAGTGAGTCTAATAAGAACATAATGTTGTTTTATATGTTGTATAGTATTCTATTAGTCCTTTTCTTGCTGTACTCGAATGCCACAATTGAAATAACAGAAGACACTGAAAAGACATTTTAAGCTTGCAAGACTTGGTCATTTCTATCCAGGCAATAAGAGCTGAGATAAAAGTGAAGAGGTTGAGGATTTAGTGAAAGCGGGAAGGAGAGGGAAAGTGAAACTGAGTTTGATTCAACAGGGAAGAAACTATAACACAGCACTTGAGCTCTTACCTTCTCTGTTAGGATGGCCAGGGTTCTCTCGAGAGCGTTGGCTGAGCGGTCTTTGGCGGCTCGAGACAGACGTTCAGTGTAGTAACACACTTGTGTCTTCAGAGTGTTAATCTGAGCAATCAGCTCCTTCGCTTTCACAACATCCTGAGGCTGGTATGCCATTCCTTTGGAGCCAGAGCCAGCAGAGCTTCAGGTGTGAGTGTGAAAGACAAAGACATAAAAGAGAAGATACATTGTCGAACAAGTAAGGCAAAAATGACAAAAAACACACACAAGAAACCTGCAATACACCACAGGTAATCTCACCTTTCCTCCCCATAAGTGCTGATTAAGTAAAGAAGTACAAAAAAAGATGCATTAAAATCAAACACCAACATGACACTAATGTCACAAGAACCCTGCATTTTATGCTTTGCTCTACTCACTGTTTCCTGGCTTCTTCAAGCTTTTGCAGCAGTTTTCGGAGGCCACAGCCTTTAAAGCCTTGATGGTGTGCAGCAGGAGCACCAATAGTCACGACATCATATGTCCGGTCTAATCGGAAGACAGTAACAAAGAGGATGAAGATATTGAATGAACAATATTATTAAAGCCTTGGACTCACATAGGCATCCAGTACATGCAAACATACAGTATGTGCACAAATTCTTACCATAGCCAGACTCTCCCTGTACTCTCATCCTCTGGATGTGCAGGTTAGTAGGAATAAACTCCAACTTCCTTTCAGCTTTCAAGGTACTCGACTTAAATGATGGACCTGGGAGGGAGGAGAAAAGGGGGAAAGGTTCACTGTATATAACAGGATATGGATAAGTCCTAATGTTTTAAAGGAAAATATAAATATATAAGGACAGGTTATCTTGTACAATTTTGTAATGTTTTACTTTAACCATTTACAGCAGTATTGCATTTTCATTTAATATTTAACCTTTATTTAACCGGATAAAAAAACAGTGCCAAAAAAAATCTCATAAAATTGTTGAAACAGTGCTGTGCAGTGATGCAACAGAGGCCGAGATTTCCAACCCAAAAAACACTGGCTCCTGCACTTCCCACAATTAAACTTAAAAGCATCTTTTCATTAGACCCTTACTTTCTGGTAAATGCCCACATAGGATTTGACACAGCTTCCCCAAACTCACAGAAATGTTTTCACAGGCTGTGTAGTACACCCTGTGACTAACTGGTGTATTATTAGTGGAGAGGCCCTTTAAAATGATATCTATCTAGTGTGTGGTCCTAACCTTTGTATTCATGCAGGTCACTTATGGTCTCCTGGTAGGTGAGGATGATGGTCTGATACTGAGTGATGATCTGCCTCCTCAGGTTCTCCCAGCATGGAGACAGCTCGCCCAGTTCTTCCAGCTCACACACCCTGCAAATCACACGCACACACACGGTTTATTATCAGGACATCCAGCTGATGCACTGAGGGACCTCACAGCTTCACAGCAGTTAGTGCAGCTTTTTCAATTAAGGTCTATGCAATAAACAAAACAGCTGAGCGGATCCAAATCACCCACATTACAAGCAACCAGTAGTAATAATGGCAACAGTGGGAGTCATGATAATAATGTTTCTTTGACTATATAATGGTGATACAGTAATACATAAAGAATATACACACACAAAGCACACACAAATTTCAGTTTACTGGCTACAAAGGAGACAAAAAACACATGCACTGACACACAATGGATGCAAATGAGGTTACAATGTACTAACGGGCTGCAAGATTAATACAATTTCTTTCACATCATTTTTTTCTTTATTGTAACACTGGATAGTTAAATCTCTTCAGGCAGCTAAAAATGATCCAAATGGGAGGGGGCATCAGTCTTTGGTTAAGCTGCATGCAACTTATTCTCAATCTGTGACAGAATGCAGAGCTTCAAATGTGGGTTGAGTCTAAAATGTAATTAGAATAAAAAGTATCACGTATTTCCACACATTCAAGTACAGAAAATTACAGTACAAAATTAGGACGTTTGGTTTTTGGAAATTGTCTCCAGATCCGACTTGAGGGCAATACTGCACTGACGTACCACAGGCTTGACAAAGAGTAGCCTTTAATCGGTCACAAAGGTTGAGAACCACTGAACTACAACACCCTGCCGCTCCTATAGCCAGATGTTCAAACCTCTGATCAATAATATCAACACACATTTTAGACATTACCTGACGGCATCTTCCTCCAGCAGCAGTTTGACAAACTGTCGAGGGATGTGCAGGGACAACGCACTCTCCGCCATCTGCTCCAGGGTCCGAAGGTGGTTGCCGTCTGTGGTGGGGAACCGGTATGTTCGCGACATGACGCCCCCAAACGCTAAAGCAGATCAAAACATAGTATCACAGCCGTGAGTCACCTGTTACTAAACTCTCACACAGTCACACAGGAGGTTGATATTTAGCTCATATGGACACACTCACCAGCCTTTAGCAGTGGGTCTTTACACAGAGATGAAGACCTGGATTTAATGCCCATGGATTCAGTCAGGCTCTCATCAACAGGGAGAACCATCTGAGATACACAGTATACAAAAAACGGCCAAAGAATCACAATAGTGTTTGCCTGTAGTGAGAGCGTCATGTGTCTAACTTCCTAATTCTTTGATCTGTGACGATGCAACCAGAAATAGGCTGAGGGCAAATGTTACTATGAGGTAAAATCTATTCTCTAGGGCTGCTACTTTTATATTTATCATCAACTAATCATCACATGATTTTCTTGATTAAGCGAATTGTTTGGCCTAAAAAAGTCAGTAAACAGCCCATCACAATAATCCAATACCTTGTTTTGTCAGTCAAAACATAAAGACATGTATCTTTTAATTACATAAGATGACAAAAAGCAGAAAATCTTCACAACTGAGAAGCTGGAACTAAGCAAAGTTTAGTATTGTGCAATGAATTTATTATCAAAAAATGTTTTCTGTCACTCTAATAATCAATTAATAGACTAATCATTTCAGTTCTCACCCTTCCATTAACAGTGTCTCCTCTCTGAAGTCTTGCAACGGGGGCTCTCTGCTCGCGCTTCTCCTCTATCTGCCAGGCGATGACGGTGATGTTCCCCACGCGCTCGTTCTCCGCTGACCTGACCCACAGTGACCCACAAGTAAGTTAACCCAAACCCCTGAACCCAAATCCAGCAAGTATTTTGTCACTGAGAGAGCATGCTTGTTACCTGAGAGTCAGGTGCAGTCTGTGGTGTTTGTCCTGCAGCAGCTCTTTCACAGAAAACATGGACGAACCAAGCATGTACATCTGTCACATAAAAGTGAACACAACCAGAATATTTAGAAGATTTCCACCAGATAAGACTAAAATAAATAAAAAACTTTATTCACATCCTAACAGGAAATTTGAAGACAGTGGAGCAGGGGCTTACCGTGCCCTGCGAGCGGTCCTTCACATCGTAGACAGAGAGCTTGACCTGAGTCTGCTGAGTGATCAGAGAGTCCTGAAAGAATGCTACACTGCTCAGGAAGATTGGGTTACTGGTGCCCTGAAGACAGAGAGACAGAGAGACACAGAGAGCGAAGTGAGATCATTTTGACATCTCCAACAGAGGGCAGGTATCAAGGGCAAGCGAGCAGTGGTGTACCTCTATGATTTCAGTTTGAGCGTGCTTGGTCCAGAAGGCCTGGGGCGGAGTGGTGCAGCTGATGGCGACGAAGCTGGTTGGCTTACGGTCCAGAGAGGGAGTGACCAGCTCACTGCAGGCTGCAGCAACATATAAATACAGGAAGAGATTACAAACTGTGGGATTTAATGGTGGGATGGTCACTAATCCTTGGCCGTGGGAGGAATGTAATACAGTATTTTTGAGTTGTTAGTACTTGATGAGCAGCAGTAGTTTACAGTAATGCTTTCAGGTTGAACAAGGGATACAAATTAAACAAGTCATTCGACACAAATGATGTAGTTGCCTCTTGAGCTAATCCCTGACAGAAAACATCAGCCTTCATCCTTTAAAGCAGCATCAGATTATTATTTTTGGCCAATTGGGGGGGCAACTGAACAAGCTATAAACACAACAGTGACATATTATCACTGTATAAAATTAATATGGTGAACATATCAGCATTGAGTTGCCTATTTACAGACATGGAGTAACATTAGCATTCATTTGGAGTTGTGTTTCTGGCCACCAGTCCAATATTCACTCTCCTTTTAGCTGTTTAGAACTCTTATTTTAGGTCTCTACAAAGTCTAAAAAAAAAAAAAATCTGTCTCTTTAGCTGCTAATTTACTTTGTTCACCAGATAATTGCTAACTTTGTCTGTTTTTGTGCAGTGCAGGTAGCGAACAGTGTTTATCACTATTATCACTATTATTAACAGGGTTTATCAGTCTGTGTCTTTAAAAGACAACAGTGAACTAAAACAGTCAAACCAAAACAATAAGCTAAATGACGTCGAGGCGGGCTGTGACACCATCATCAACCACTTTGATATTACAGAACAAGACTAAAACCAACAATGTGTCAGTTAATCCCTTAGTACTTTCGAGCTTCCCTACTTTGTCTGTGACAGCAGCCCATAAGTTTCTAATAAAGACATAAATATTTAAAAACAGATCACAAATATATAATGTAATTTTTCAAAAAAGCCCAGTATTTTCCTATAACAGCTTGGCCCGGACATTTTATTACAGTTCACAAACAGTAAAAAGTGCATTTGTTGGAGACCATTGTATCTGTGGAGATACACATATCCGGTGCACTACTGAGTTTTTACAACTGAGCAGCACAGTGTATGAGTGATTGACTAAAAATAAACTACAGTATCCATGTTCATCATAATGAAGGAAGATGTCAGCCAGTGAACTAACATAGCTCGCTAATGTGTTTTTAATAGTTTTTGGACAGCAATGGAGCAACAATGGAGGGTGATAAGCTATATCAGGCTTTGAGTACAGCACTCGCCTGTGTGTGTAGTTACTGGGGTCTGTTCGTTGTTGGTTGAGGTCTGGTCATGAGATTTGTTAATGATCAACTATCTTGGACTCATTAGGCGTCACTGGTGTAAATGAAACAAGTTCTGTCAATAAACGTCACAATAAAGTTAAATATTATAACCATTACTAATTAAACCATTTCTTGTAAAAGTACACACACAGTCTGACCTATCAGCAGTGTACAGCAGTGTATCATCTTGAACTTACCCACGCTGAACTCCAGCACAGGCTCGTCTGGATCCTGACTGTTGCCTGTAGGACAGAGAGAAAGTGGAGGGGGAGCCATTTTTTTTTAATAACGCCCTGCTATTTCATCATCAATGAAGTAAATAGGTTTCCATGGTAGCAGTTACTTAGTTACCTGACAGAGCCAGCCCCATCATCTCAGCTGAGAGATCAAACGTGTTGGCCCGGTAGACAGACCATGGCCGATGGCGGGGGCTGCGCTCCTTCCCGGACATGGTGGGTTCTCGTCGGGGCTGAGGACGGATTTGAGAATAGAAAGGGCTGAAGAGCAGAACGATGACGACGCAGACTCAAAATCCAACACTCGTCTGTCACAACAGTTCTTTGAGATGTGTGTGTACGCTGGTTTCCCTTGTGTGCTGATCTGAGCGGTCACACGTTTCTCAATGATAAAACTGAAAGAGAGAGAGAAGAAAACAACAAAGTGATCATCTGCTGTCCCCACAGAAACAGCTGAGACAGACTGGACATCTGCAGCCTTTTGATACCTTTCATCAAGATTCTGGCTGAGCACAAAAAAATTTGACAAAATTAGAAAACGTCTTGTAATTATCCACATAAAGGGTGCTGCTGGCTGCACTCATGCTCATTAGCACATTACAGTCTTCAGTACACAAGGTTAAAGCAATAGATAACTCATGTAAGTTGGCTGTCGATGCTCCTTTATGAGATGAACAGTGTATGACAGGCTGTGTTCTGTCAGTGCTCTCTTTCCCTCTGATAATGTGCTAATATAGGCAGTGGAAATAAAAAGTGTGACTTTTCACACACAGTTGCAGGATATGAAACACAGAGCTGCAGCAGACTGAATCTTCACCTTCTACCTCCTTATGCTATTTGTGCTTTCCTGGTGTGTGTTTTTTTGTAAACTGGGTTCTTCTTTCATAAAGATTAATGTCAAACATACATGACATACATAATGAGATAAAGGTCTCAGTTTTATCAACTCTAGATATAACAGATACACACCATTTTGACTAATAATTCAGTATTTTTCCTTGTTTCTGTGTCTGTTCCCTTGTGTTTATACAGTGTCAATAATCAAAAGTAAAGTGCATCAAGCAGCCCCTAATGATACAAAGACAAACAACGTATATTGTTGTTCCTCCTGTGAAAAACACCAGGATTCATTATCCAGCATGAATTGCTCTGTAAATCTTAATATAGTCAGTTCTTTAACAGTTTGTAGTGCCTTTATTATTGTGGACGGTACAGAGCTGACAGGGAATGATGAGATGTGGAATAAATTGCAACAAAGGCCCCCTGGTGGGACTCGAACCAAGGACATTGCACTGACATGGTCTGTGCCTTAAACCACAAGGTCACCAGGACGTCCCTGTTCTTTAAATTTAATAGCAGGTTTTGGCAACACTCAGTAAGCACTTGTGGTGCAACTCTGTGAAACCGAAACTCATTTGTTATATCTGATACTCATTTTGTTACGATAAGTCTGATAATGCAGAAGCCACAGCGTAAAGGGTGGCACCTGCCAAAATGACGTGCAATAGTGAGAGAACAGGATACTAAAGGCTGTGCCAAGTGTGGCACACACAATGAATATAAGAAGAAACACAGATGTGAGAGTGAGAATCAGCAACAAGACCATCAAGCTGTCTGTGCATTGATTTGGCTCATGCAAAGCAGAAGTAAGCACCAATATGAGCCACAGACCTAAGAACAGGAAATAGAGAAATGACGTGCGTGAAGAAAATGTGAAAAGGTTAAGAGGACAGGAAAGGGACTCAGTAAGAAGTCTGATGACTAACCTCATCTGAAAGCTGCTTCAAATGGCCCTATGAGCTAACTGTTTACACTTCCTGTGATATGTCAGACTCAGTTAACGTTTCCTCAATAGTACTTGTGTGTGTGCTGCACAAATATCCGCTCGCCTTTGCTCAGAGTGATCAGGTGGAACAAATTTCTCCCCCTTATCAGCCCACACAGACCCGGTAGATTGAGGTGATATTAGGTACTGCGAGTGTTTGTCTTGTGTGTGTTTTCTGTTTATTTGATACCACATTGACAAGAGCAGAACAACTGTTCTGTGCATTCATGTGTAAGGATTTCTGCAACAGTGTCTATTTTTACATGTGACTGTTTTGACGTCACAAACCGCACGCAAAACCACCATCTTCAAGTGACACACACACGCATACAGACACTCATCTGCATAGTCACACACACAGAATCCAGAGTATGATGCTCTCTGCCAGTTTAATCTCTGTTTTGGCATCTTCATGTGAGACCAAAACAGATGACAATTACAGCGTGGCTGCTCTGCCTCATTAGGCGGTGTCAGTGGGAGCTGTCTTTAAACATGCTGTAATCTCCACTGCCTGGAGCACTGTGGGAAGCTCTTTAGGAAACCCACAGTGGATCTAATACAAAGCCACGGGGAGCCACGGATCATCATCATTGCATCTGTCTGACAGTCATCAGCTACATGCTTGAAGGGAGACAAAACGGCCGTGAGTGGTGCTGAAATGATTCGTCAATTAACTGATGTATCAGTGGACGGAAAATTAATTAACAACAATTTTTAGAACTGTTTAAGACTTTAAGTGATGCAGTGAATAAAAATTGCAAACGTTCTCTGGTTACAGCTTCTCTAATGTGAGGATTTGTTGTTTTTCTTTGTTCTATATCATTATCAACTGAATATTTTTGGATTTTAGACTGACATCTGAAGATGTCCCTGTTAGGAAATTGTAAAGGGTGTAGATAAACTAAATCAAATTTAAATGATTTTATTATCAATGTGGATTACTTTATTGATTTATCGATCAATGGTTTATAAGATGCCAGATAATACTAAAAAATTACCATCTTAATTTCCCAAAAACCCAAAGTAATGTCTTCAAAGTGCTTGTTTTATTCAACCAACAGTCCAAGACTACTGAATATGAAAGTGAAGAGGAGGAAGAAAGCTGGAACCAGAAAACGGGTTGTTATTCTTGTGTGAAAATCAACTAATCAAATAACTGACTGAAGGTTTGAGCTCTTACTGGCAGATAACTGTTAGTTGTAGTTATAGAGAGTATTGGAGATATGGGCGTCCCTTCAGATCGGCCACAGTGTGGCTGGTTGTTAAAGATTTATAACAGCAAGCATCCACACTGATGAAGTGTGACCTCTGACCTCAATAAGGGAAAACAGGTCACTGAGAGACATTTTAGTTTTACAGCTTTAAGGGGAGAAGAATATAAGACGGGGTAGGCACAACTGAGGTGGTGTGTAGAAGTAGAGAGGACAGAGAGGATTCAGGTGGTAGAAAGTCCTCTGGGGCGGTCTGGAAACAAGAATGACCCAGTTAGTCGGGCTGGTGACTCACAGCTGGCCCCCCTGCAGATGCTGTCAGGACCGGCTGCACTGCAGTGCCTCACTCTCAGACATCCTCTTCCTCAACTCATCTCCTCCTCATCCTTTTAAATCTCTCCTAAATGCCTCATGCCACCCATCTTCTGCTTCGTCATCAACCCTGTCCTTTTTCCTCCTTTTCCAGTGTCCCCCCATAACCCCCGATGCTCCTCTCAATTTCACTCTATTGATCCTGTTCCAGTCCAGAGCTGAGCTGTGCTGTTCTGCCCTCCCTCGAGTCTGATCTACAATCGTCAACTTGATGCAGAAATGTCAGCCGCAGACACATGGATGGCTGCATCCACAGTGATCCATTAATTGCTTTCTGATCTGATTGATCAAAGTGGAAGAGAATATGCAAACTAGTTTATTCCCATGATAACATTTATCCACACACACACACACACCAACGTGAAGAGGAAATAACGTCATGCATAAAGAAGCTCTTGTTACCAAGACAGCAGTAAACTGAACATGAGAAAGAACCTTTGATGACGACGACGACAATGATGATGATGAATGAACTCTTGTTAATGATGCTACAGGATCACATTCACAGTTACACTGTAGGTGGACCTTCAGTAGAAACACTGAGGGCTCCTTTAACAACACTGTGCAGGTGGGCAGGTTCAGGAGTCCTGTTCTATTTATTTCTCAGAAATCTCCATCAGAAACATGCACACAGATGCAAAAGAACAGATATAATAACGAGAGACAGTTAGAGGTTAGCCACAGACCTCAGGGACATTTACTTCCCTCTCTGTTATGAAAACAGTGAAAACTGACAGATCAAATCTAATCCTTATTGCTCTGTTGGGAGCATCTGAGAGGCCTCCAATGGCCTGTTGCCACGGTGATTCATAAGCAACACATCCGGTTTTGGATATAATGTAAAAAAAAAAGTGAAATATAACATTAATCCTACACCAACACCCTCCTGGCCTCCCATAAACCTGCATGAAACAGGGAGTTGTCCTGTCTGTTTACCAGCCGGTAGGTGGAAATAACAAGACACAGGCCAGAGCCGGAAATCTATTTATGGCAACACTGGCCAGTAATACTGTTAATATACTTCAGAGTGGATACATGTTTATTCACTGACACTCGGACAATAACAAATATTGCGTCATGATATCTGCTGATGCTCGTTCAGTGAAGATGCTGCATGGTGCTGCAGGATGTGCACTCCGTTCAGCACAATCTAAAAAAAATAATACAAGCCATGTATAAAAAGAAAAGAGCTACATCGACATCTGAGACCTTGCTGTGGCTGTAAACACGTCTTATTCTGCTCCTGCTGCGAGGTGCTGTTCATCTCCTCACGGCAGCATCAATCATTGTGAACAAACGCACTCGACAAACCGCGAGATGACCGCACATCAAAAGGCAAACACACACAAAACATAAATATCTCATACCGTTCAGAGAAATGCGAAGGTTTCTTTTCATATTGATGCGCATCCTGGTTGCATACTCGACGATGTCTGCAGTCAAGACTCGCCCTGACTCCCTCTGACACATCGAGACGTAATAGCCCCGCTGGAAGCACCCCCCCTTATGTCCACTGGGGGGCGCTGCCGGCCCTCTCTGCAGGGACCGACTGTACCACCGAGAAGAAGCTCAGATGTTGTTTGTTGTGGTTGGGTGGACGATTGGACGTTGGTGGAGAAAGCCTGATTGTCTGCATTGACTAAAATGACAGCATCTCTGTCAGATGAATACTATGGACGCACATTCCCACCAAAAAGTTACTATAATGTTCAGTATTTTGTTGTTTGTCATAAATGTATTATTTTGAGGTATTGGTGGAGGGAAGTGTAGTTTTTTTCTAAGTCAAGGGAAGGTCCAAAGACAATATTAATATAGCTTGGGAGGGACTTTTTATAAAATAAAAGTAATTGAGCCCCACATCAATCATTTCTGTCAAACTTATGAGATACTTAATCATATTTTTGAAATACAATATTATGATATAGGCTATGTCAAAATTATTTAAGTTTGGCACTTTAGTAAAAGTAAGAGTATATTTGGAGTTTGGTCATTCACTTTAGGTTGACTCCTCTTGCAGTTATATTGTATTTTTCAACATTTTGTTTCTGTTTTGAAATCAGAGGACTTTGGATGCTGTTGAGTGTGAAGACCCACTCCCTGTGGAGGGCAGCCATCATTAACCATCTGTGAAATGCTTCCTCTTACATGGAGATCCAGCTGTGTTGGAGGCCAAGTGGCAAACCATGGTGAACCAGATTCAGGACATTTTGCTGCATTGCCTGCTGCACACACCCACCTTAAAGTTATAGTTTAGTTTCATAGTTAGTTAAGTTTTTCCATGGGTATTTTGGAAATGCTATCTTCATATCAGGCATTAAAATGCTATTTTAAAATTCAAAACATGTTTAAAACAGTAAAGCTTCTCTCCTTCATGCCCCTCAGGTCCTTTCTTATTGTACTGTATGTGAATATAAATTATTTGTTTGTGTTTAGTGTTCTGCCATTTTGGCCAGTTCTTTATAATGTATGTCAAGAAATAAATAAAACATACGAGTTCACTCTCATTTTATTTATATTTTATTCTTTCCTGGTGAAAATGGGGTTTCATGCTGAAAACAGACTCAATGGACAGAAACTGAAAGATTTAATGCTGTACACCAATGTTGGGAGAATTCCCTTTTTATGTTATCTTCAATATTGAATCTGAGAGGTAAACTGGTTAAAGATTTAATCTTTAAAGGAAGAAACCAGTTTATATGAGAGTCCTGAAAAGTGATTTCATTGTCCACATTTCACTTATTTGCTCTGTGGGGGCCAGGCTATACCCATTAATCTGTGTGTTCATGTAGTCTATAAACCACTTTAGATAAATCAGAGAAGCAGTATGTATTGCAAGTCAAAGTTGAAACTTATGTTGCTCGGGAAAACAGGTGTCACCGAAACCTAAAGAGTGGCCCTTGAATGGCCCGCAGAAAACCGCCGCGTCCCCACCCTTTCTATCTGCTTCAGGTGGCACCCAATCAGAGCGGCGCTCGGGGCCGCGCCCAGCCTGTATCGGAACTCGTGGACGCGCTGCAGGTAAACCACAGGTGTGTTGTCCGTCAGTTTGAAGGAGCCCGGATCGCACAACCCTCAGAAGTTAATTCAGGCATCACTGCAGGAGAGTGCTGAGAAGATGGTGCAGTGAGAACATGCGAGAAGATTAAACCTGACAACTCTTAGAGGAGTTTGTTCGAGTTTTTTTTATCTCGTGATTGATACTCACATCAGATTGGATTACCGTGTGAGGGCTGTGGTTTTTTGTGCACAATGGATTTACGCATATCCAGACGGACAGAAGTGTTACTCGTTGTTTTTATATTGTTAAGCCTTCTATATGGCTCCAGAGGAGAAATCCCTCCGAAACCGACCGGCGGTGTCACGATTATCCCCCCGGTTGAGCCCGATGGCCCCCAGGCCTTTCCAGACGAGGAAAAGGCAAATTTACCAGTGTTTACAATGGATTACCCAAGAATACAGATCCCATTTGAAATCACTCTTTGGGTGCTGCTGGCTTCATTCGCAAAAATTGGTGAGTAACAGCAACATAAATTCGAACTGGTGACTGTATAGACACAGAGATGGGTTAAGGTAATAGATGTGGCCCTTTCATAGAGGGTGCAGGTAAATTCTTTGCTTCTTTCACAGCCCTGTTCTTGTTTTTAAACTAAAGTTACCTCTCTCAGGTTTCCATGTATACCACAAAATCACCATCTGGGTGCCCGAGTCCTGCCTTCTGATAAGCATTGGTCTGATTGTGGGTGGCATCATGCACTCTGTCCATGAGGAGCCCCCCGCTGTGCTCAGCAGCAATGTCTTCTTCCTCTACATGCTGCCCCCCATCGTCCTGGAATCGGGCTACTTCATGCCCACCAGGCCTTTCTTCGAGAACATTGGCACGGTCGGTTACAAATCCACTTCCTGAACCAGATTCAACCTGTTGTTCTCATATAAAGAGCAATTAGACGTTTCCCTCTCTGTTTCTGTTGCAGGTGTTGTGGTTTGCAGTAGTGGGGACTCTGTGGAACAGCATCGGCATTGGCATGTCTCTGTTTGCCATCTGTCAGATTGAGGCGTTTGGAGTGCAGGACATCAACCTGCAGGAGAACCTGCTGTTTGCCACCATCATTTCGGCCGTGGACCCCGTGGCTGTGCTGAGCGTGTTTGAGGACGTGTCTGTCAACGAGCAGCTCTACATTGTGGTGTTTGGGGAATGCCTCTTCAATGATGCTGTCACTGTGGTAAGTGATGGAGACTGTGAAAGTGTGTTTGAATTTGTGCAGGTTAGCAGTACATTTGTTATGCTTAGAAGTGCCCTTTACACTGAGTTGAGACTTGCTGCAACACGCTGGCCTGCTTTGGATACCTCTGGGCTACTGCTTATTATGAAAACATGCTGAGTAATGAGCATGGTGCCATTACAAACGGTTCTTTATGTGTTTTCTTTCCTGGGATAATGGGATGTATTTCAGTGACCATATACACCTTAAGGGTGCACTCAGGGGCCCAGCATGCCAGTGGGCCCCTTACATATACAGAGGGAAATAATAATTGGAAAAGTTCTGCAACTGGTGTGGGTACAAATTGTAATCTAACACCACAACACAATTAAAAAAAAAAAATAAAATAAAAAATTTACTGATCAATATGGATCCCATAAAGATCATATGTCAAATATGGGCACGTACGGTCAGTATTTTGCTCTAAACATTATTACTATTCACACTGGACTATTGTAACTCCGCCTACCATTTAAGACCCAGCATGGACCCTTAATGTCAAGACCGCTATTATATGAAATGGCAGATCCAGTATCGTGTTGTCTGAAGCTTTTCTATTCTTTCTCTAAAGGCTCAGCTCAGGTTTCTGCAGATACTGTACAATTAGTTCACTCTCTCTTCTGGGTTAGTATGCATGTATGAGAACATAATGTGTGGGAGGGAAACGTCTGTGCACTGGCAAGATTGCTGAACAGATAAATCACTCATAAATGGAAGTGAGGGAATGTTGTTAGGGACATAAAAACACAGATCTACAGATGTCCACAGATCTGAGCTGTGTTCGTTTTGGGAGCCTGTTTATTCAGATGTCGCCAAACCTGTTTCTGAGGTCACTGTTACATTTGGCTGCATGGGAGGAGTTATCACACACACATACACGCACACATCATAGTCTGAAACATGACTTAAGGTAGTTCATGCTCGAATTTCCCCCCTCACCTTCTTTTTTTTATTGTTCTCAAACACGCCCTCCCACTCACCCACCCCTGCTCTTACCTTTGGTGTGGTGAACCTTTTGTTTAGTACACAGTAGCGGAGCTAAAAAGTGAAGACAAACATTTACTCGGGAGACTGGGAAAGCCAAGGTGTGGTCTGTACAGAGAACTCTGTGTTGCAGAATTGCGCCCATCAAACAAGATGTTATAATAGTTGCCAAAAGTACAAATACTTCCGAGGAGCACTGCAGTCAATAGTTAGGTGAAAGGTGGTGTCAGTCGTAGGAGCCCAGATGGTGGAGAGGAACCAGTTCACTTGTGAGAGCCCAATTATTCTCTGTATCCTCTATGATATGCAAATTTAAAACTGGGAATTGTTGCCGCCTCACTCTAACACACAGATCTGCTTTTGATAAATGATTAAAAAAAAAAAGGAAGAAAAAAAAAGCTCCTGTTTGTTTCTGATCTTTCCAAGGCTAGTTAACCCTGTTAGAATAAGTCTGGTGATATTTTGTATTCTTCTTCTTAACAACAAATCCCATAGAATGAAACAATGAATTGATCCTACTAATAAGTGTTGTCCTCTGTGCAATACAGCAGCACATCATTGTTGTTCAAAATTGATTAAAAGACATGAACATTCTGTTAACACTCACTAGCCCAACAAACCTGTAACTGAACTAGTCCCCAAAAATAAAATTACAGAGCCCAGATAATAATTTAGCTATTAATTTGTTCAGTGCATTAGACTCTTCTGGGAAAGTATTGAGACAGACAGGTCTGTTGATTGGTTTTGGTCTTTTCATGGGATTTGTTGACAAAGAATCAAAATATTAAATATCACCAGCCACATGCTTCAAACAAGCCATGTACTACGTGTATTGAAGACGTTGTCAACACAGTTCGTTTTGTTGCTGGGAACCTTTATTCTACATAGTAACCGCTTGCTAGTAAACATTAAAACCTTTTCTTCGTCCCAGTGAGATGCCACAATTATCTCTGAGTTAAACTGTGGCTGAGCGATTGTCTCTGAGCCCCTTAGAGAAAATGTTAAATGGGCTCCATGCATGGTGTCCTGTCCTGTCCTTGCCTTCTTTCTTTCTCTGAATACTCACTTTTAATGATTTTGTGCATCCAGAGAGCAGATTTTAATCAGCCACATTGCCATGAAAACGACAGCAAGATTGAATTAAAAAGTTGCCCTTGTTCATTGTCAGAGGTGTACTGCTGGCAGAACGGGAGGAAAAGGAACAAAGCTGGTTGCTCTGGCAAATGCTCCTT